TTATGTGATTTTGAGAAAGCGATGCTGTTTTTATTTTTGAATAAAATATATGTTTGACGATATTATAAAAATTTGACAAAAATATATCGATATTAGTATCAAATTAACTATTTAAAATTTCTCAATTTTTGTGTAATTTTTTAATTCAATTTTTTAATTATAATTTAATTAAAGTTTAATAACGAACTAATTTATTTTTGGTTTAAAAAAATAATTTTTTAAGATAATAATTAAGTATTCTGTTAGATTTTAATGATTATCCTAATTATATTTTAGATTTTTTATATTTAAATGAGATGTTTATTCTCTATCTGTTTATGTTTATCTACAGTTAGTTACATGAATTCAAACATGAAGCTTTAATAAGTTGTACTTACGCACAATATACTTGTAATCTTGAATTTTAAATAATATGCATCAATAAACAGTACTTTATGCATAAAAAAAGATTTTTAAATTTTTTTGTCAAATACATTATAATATAGTATATATATATATATATATATAATTTTAATTAATATAAATATTAATAATAAATAAAGTATTGTACATATACTTAAGTTTTTCTGTCTTTTACTTTTTTACTTTCATTTAAAAATAAATAAATTCTTATTAAAATGGATATTACTATTTTTTCTAATAATTATATAATTATCAAAATTAAACATTTACATAGACTCTTGAGATATAGGTAAAGATAAAAAGCAAAAGTATATAAATAAAACATTAAAATAATTTATATTATATTTCAGTTATTCTAAAATGAAATTATTTGTAATATAATTAACATATGAATGTGTATTGTAATTATTGTTGAATAAAGAACTGTGTCTCGTTGGTTCCTAGTAGTTCATTTCATCAACAACTATGTCTAGAGGGTCTTCTTCTTTTTATTTGTTTTTTGTCTTTCGATTCTCTCTCTTCTACAACAATATAATGAAGAATATATGTATATATATATACTAGAAGCGTACTCGAGCAATGCAGCGAGATACATCGTGTTTTTAATATTTCATTTTATTCTTTATCTCAGTCGATGTTATAATATG